GAGTCAAAATTGGACTACAAGATAAATGATGATTTTCTCTTCCTTTCCTATTTGCAAATTGGCGCCACACAGGGATGAAAATCCCCTAAGGTGGCCGGCCATAATGGATAAGGATAAGAGAAAATTTTGTTTCAAATTCAAATAGGAAATAATGAACAAGCTTTATCTTAGAGATAGAGATTTGATTCCTTTTTGAAGTTTGACTTCTACTCTTTAAATATGAGAATAATAAAAAATTGTGAACACAATTTTTAAAAATAATTTATGCCCTAAGAGTTAAGGCTGGCCAAAATTCTCAAGAGAGAAAGGAAGAAAAAAATTTTTCTCCAAAAATTCCACGTCGTGCATGCGTTGGTGTTTGTGAAAATTTGAGTGTTTATTGTAACCCGTTTTGTCTCATGTGTGCCCACACACACGTCTTCGTGGATTCTAGGAATTGATGTGGAAGACATTGGTTTTCTAAACACAAAGATTGGAGCAAGGTCTGTTCGTGGTCAAAGAACTTAAGTTATCATCCGAGTCGGCTTCCAGGTATTTTTCTTGATTGAGTTCTTGATATATATAAGTTAATGAGATTAATTTATTCGTGCATAAATTAATATAATCTATAGAGTATCTCAAAAGTTTTATGAAAATTTTTGTTATACACGATCCGCCTCTTCCCCGCACCACCACGCTTCCGCATCCGAATTCGATTCGGAGACCAACAGAGTGATAGGTGCAGTCAAATGGGATAGAATCCCATTCTCTAATAAGTATTCAGTGAACTCATCAGAGAGGTATTCTCCACCTCGATCGGATCAAAGTGCCTTTATGGGTTTACCCAATTGCTTTTCCACTTCAGCCCGAAACTCCCTGAATTTCTCAAAAGTTTCGCTTTTGTGGTGCATCAGGTACACATAACCATATCTTGAGTAATCGTCCATAAAAGTGACGTAATACTCATACTCTCCTCTTGCCTTGATGTTCATGGGACCACAAACATCACTATGCACAAGTTCAAGAACCTCTTCAGCCTTATTGCCCTTAGACCTAAATGGTCTTTTGGTCATTTTGCCCTCCAAACAAGACTCACATTGGGGTAAGGACCCAACCTTTATAGAACTTAAAGGTCCATCCTTTACCAACCTCTGTATCCTCTTAAGGCTAATGTGACCAAGTCGCAAATTCCAAAGATATGTCTCATTAGAGTGAGAAGTTTTAAGCCTGTTAGAGTTATTAATAACTTCAGTGTTTAGCAGTGAGTCCATCTTAGGTTTTATAAAATATAGATTATTTTGCATATATCCATCATATATAAAAGACTTATTTTTATGAATCACAACTTTATTATTAAAAGAAACTGAATAAGAATCCTTAAATAAACAAGCAATAGAAATAAGATTCTTCTTAAATTGAGGAACATAAAAACAGTCTCGCAAAAATAAATTCCTATAGCTATCAAAATAAAGATGGTCGTCTCCCACTGCTTCAGCCAACACTAGAGTTCCATCACCCATCCTCAACGTGAAGCTCTCATTTAGAAGACTTCTCGTTTGCTTAAACCCCTGCAGAGAAACACACACATGATTAGTTGCTCCAGAATCTATTACCCAGTTGTTACTAGATTCCTCAACTAGACATGCTTCCAGATGGAGAGAAAAAGCTTACCAAGAATCTAGAAATGGGGAAGATATAAAAACTTGGAGTGAGTTCCACCGAAAAATTGCGAGTGCGCAGATCAAGAATGTGGATAAGGGTCTAGAAAAATTTTGGCAGAGTCTTGGCTTACTTTTGAGGCGGTTGGAACAATCAAAGGGAACTTAAGGGACTATTTATATAGGTGGAAAACCCTTGACTCTCAACCGTCGGATGGAATAACCATGCATCCAACGGTGAAGGCAAAGATACGCGATCCAACGGTGATTAAAAGAACATGAAGCTGAAAAAGCGTGATCCAACGACCTAGGTTTGTCCGTTTAAATGAGAGCCTACGTTAGCGTAGTGACCAAATCGACGCAACGTTTACACTGCCCGAAGAACCCCTTAAGCATCAGATTCATCATTGCAATGAAGGTTCAGAGCTAGGTTCCTACACCCAAAGCAAGCGAAGAGGCTAGAGGAAGTCCCATCGTAATTAAAACTCAAGACAATCTAAAGGAAAGTCTTAACCTGGGGGGCGACTGTTGTGAGGTAAAATCTACCTCGCCACATCGGACAACAACCGAGCTCCACGTGGCCAATACCATGCCTTATCAGTCGACGGATGGGCACTAACGGTTGAAGGGTTAGCTTTCAAAGATGAGTGCCGTACCAGTGAGAGAAGGGTCGACCGCCCCAAGGCATCTTAGAATAATTCTTGAAGAAACGTTCAACAATAGTAAGATTGTAACCATCAACGTCCAAGCTAACAGTTGACAGATCAAACATTCAAGACGGAGACAGATTCCAAGCCCTATAAACCGGCGACGCTATGGAAGAATTGATGGGGCCGAGGGTACCATTTTGACCCACCGTAGAGGCCCAGTGGGGACGCAGAGGGTAGGACATTCAGTCCTGTGATGTAGATCTCGAGAGTATCCCCTGAGGTGACAAGAGAGAAATCACTGGATTACTAGTGAGCTGAAGCAAAGTCAGTAGCATGGAAAATGATTACTAGCCTATTAGCCACCTAAAATGGACCAAAGGAGAATGAAAGAGATCCATAGAGCCGTAATAGTAGACAAAGTAGGTAGACGAACAGTCTAAAAGGTACTGAAAAGCTATAGTCTAGGCGAGTAGGATAATAGGCTACTCGAGAGAAACCATCAGATAACCATTTGTCTCGGTTTCCTCCAATGTGCAATCTGTGAGATAAAGAAATAACAAAGCCTTAGGGAGAAAGGATGATGAAAAACTGAGAGAACAAGACCTCTGTAATCGAAGAAGAAAGGAAAAAATAAAAACTTTCCCAAAGTGGATGTAGCTCTTTCATTGAGAGTGAACTACTATAATTTCTGGTGTTCTTCTTATTCATTTGCATTCTCATTCATATTCAGAGCACTTTTAGGATCCACACATGACCAGTTGCATTTCTCTAGTTCTCTTTACGTGTTCTAGCCGGTAAGCCGACTGATTACTGGACAGTAATCCGACATATTTCTGGTGATAAGATTTCATCATCAACAATACACATCCCACTTAATTTCAAAAGAATTAAATTTACTTTGAGATAATAGGCATAATGACCCTTTTCATACAACTTTTTGATTAAATATCCCCGCTTTTAGGAAATTAGGCAAATGGCTGACCCTTAATAGGTATGGTGTTGAAAAAGATGGAAACATCGTTAAGGAGGTGTTTGGTTCATATATTCAAACTTAAACCCATAATTCTACTACAGTGTAAAGCTATCACAAAAAAGTTAAATTTCAAACCTCAAAGTCAAGAATCATGTTTAAGTATACCTTTCAAACGGGCTCTAAAACTCCTTCCAATATCCTACCAGCCTCTCTCTTTTCAGAATGTCTCTCTCTCCCTCTGCCTGTGTCTTTGGCAAGTCAAGCACTCCCTCCATCCCTCTGTTTTTCTCCCTCATTCTGTTTCTCGAGATCCAAAAAATATCTAATTGAGAGATAATTGTTCTCTCATGTTTAGATCACATAATGTCTTGACATGAATTTTCTTTCTTTCCAAGTGAGTTTTGTATTTTGACAACCCAACTTCAAGCATCTATAGAGAGAGGGGAAGAGTGTTGTTTATGGTAAGGCCTCGTTCATTTCACCGATTCGAGTTTAGAATTTGAGTTTTGCTATAGTAAAAAGCTCTTAGAAACAGTCACATCTAACTTTTTGCTACAGTAAAAAACTCTCACATAAAGTCACATATCAACTCGAATTAAAAATTTAAATCAGCAAACTAAACGGACCTTCAATCACTAATTTACTCTGGTCAATTAGTGATTGACTTCGGTCAATCAGTGATTGACTCCAATCAATCATGGGTTTTTCTTTCTTCAGGCAAGATTGCTCAATCATTCATAATTGTTTGTTCTCAGATGAAGCCGGACTCTAGATCTCGATGGCGATTGTCACACGACGGAGATCAAAGATTGTGATTACAGAGACGTTGGCCTCCGTTCGCTGCGAGAAGGAGAGTGAGACAAGAGAGGGAGGGAGATGTGCAAGTCTGCTAGAGAGGGGGAGAAACTGCTATAGAAAGAGAGTGAAAAGAGTGAGAGAGAGCAAGAGAAAGAGTGAGAAATGAGGGTAAAATTGGAAACTAATTTTTAATTTTTATAAGCATCGGCCATTTCCCTAAATTGTGAAAAGTTGCGACAAGTAATATTAAGGCCTCGTTTACTTTGCGGATTCGAGTTTTTAATTTGAGCTGAGATGTGACATTTTGTGAGAACTTTTCACTGTAGCAGAAAAAGTTAGATGTGACATTTTCTGAGAGCTTTTTACTATAGAAACCTAGAACTGAAAACTCGAATCGGTAAAATGAACGAGTACTAAGTGTATATGATAATGGTTCATTTATCAGATTTTCTCATTTACTTTTTACACACCCCATATATTTATGGGAGAAATAGGGAAATAGGCTAAGACTTGAGATGAATTAAAATTAATAGGCTCACAATTTACATAAATTAATAAATAGGCCAAATTACTATTTTCGTCAATAACTTGTCTGGTTATGAACCATAACTTGACAAGTTATTCACGGTTTTTGTCCATAACTTGTCTGGCTATGAACCATAACTTAACAAGTTTATCCATAACTTATCTGGTTATAAACCATAACTTAATAAGTTATGGCCTATTAATTTTTATAACTAAAAATTGACCTATATAATTTCTTAAGATTTTCATATTGACCTATTTTCTACTATTTTCTAATATTTATCAGTTAAACCGTTAAAATGAGTCTTTTGTCACATGACAAAAACATAAAGCAACAAAATGCAATTCTCCCCTATAAGCTTACCCTAATAAACGACCCTCACGTTGATGTCGTAAGTGATTTTGGCCAACGCAATATCGGCAGGAATATCCCAGCGGCCAGCTCTTTGCGCTCCGATTTTCTTTACGTTGATGTCTGAAACCCCCAAAGGAACGAAGAAGGTAATCATTCCATTTTCTTCTCCGATTTTCTTCTTCTTCTTCTTCTTCCATAAAAGTTTGCCCACTTGATTCTTTTATGGGGAAACTTAGTTTTTCTTCTCCCTTACTTTACTACTACTGTTTCGACGTTCTTGCTTTCGCTGGTGTATTTTTTTTTTTTTTTCGCGTTCGTCATTGAAGAATTTTAGTGAATGATTTTATTTTTTAGCTTTTAGGAACTGGGTTTGCTTCTTTGAGCTTTGAATCATAATTGGTTTTACTTTTTGACTGTAAAGGGGTTCTTGTGTTTCTTCACGAGTTTTGGAATTTCTTGATATTTACTTGTGTGCCAAAGAAAAGGGGGGAAAAAAAAGCAAAATGGCTTTTCCTTATATTTGGGGGAATCCGAAAATGTTGATTCAGATGTGAAAATGGGTTTCATGTCACATTATGAACTGAGTTAACTCGGTGATATTCGAAAAGAAGAATGAATAGAAAAATACCTTATCACGATTCTGAGAAATATAGGAAGTGAGTTAACTAAAACAGACATCATTCAAGCATATCCTTATCAGGTTTTTGATGTTCCTGTTCGGTTAATTTTTTATTAGCTTTGTATTGTCGTTTTGTCATACTTAGCTGATTTTTAGCGAAGAATTTGTGCTTTGTTATTGCGGATATTATCTTTATGTTGATGTTGTTTTTGGTGCTCGGAATGAATGTATGAATTTCTTATGAAAGTATGAATTTGTTGAGGATATATTATCTTTATGTTGTTAGTTTTTTAATGTGGGCACTCATGTGAAGAATGTGTGAATTTCTTAGTGCTTGGAATCGTATTTGGGTGATTCGTTTAAGTTTTTGACTGTAAAGGGCTCTTGTGTTTCTTGGTAAATTTTGGAATTTCATTTCACATTTTCTTGTATTTTATCATGTGCAAAAGAAAATAGAAAAAAGAAAACCTAAGCAAAATGACCTTTTCTTTCTTTTCTGTTTGGGGACTCCAATTATGTTGACTTAGATGTGGAAATGGGGTTCGTGTCTCATTAAAACAGCTTAAACAATATAATAAACGAGTTAATTTGGTGATATTCAAAAAGAAAAAAAGAATAGAAAAATAACCCATGTACAGATATGCTGAGAAATATTGGGAGTGAGAGTTAACTAAAATAGGCATCATTCTAGCATATCACTACAAGATTTTGATGTTCTTTTCAGGTTAATTTGTTATGTATTGTCTTTTTGTCATACTTGAGCTGATTTTATTGAAGAATTTGTGTTTCTTCATTGTGGATACTATCTTTATGTTGATTTTGTTTTTGGTTTTTATATTGCAATTGATGATTCAGATGAGTCTTGTCACTGATTCTCCCGTCAACTCATCAAGTAGCGATGATTTTGCATCGTTTCTCGATGCGACGCTTGATTCGGACTTTGCAGAGTCATCACCAGAAGGAGAAGCCGAGAATGAGGATGATGACAAGGACGATGATAATTTTGAGAACAAGAGGTGCTGTTCTTGTTCTTTCCTTTTGTATTTTAATCTTTGAAATATAATGTTTGACACATTTGACCCATATTTTTACCGAATCCTCTTATTTTCTTGATTGTTTCATGCTTGCTGCTCATATGTCCTTCCTTGTTTGTTTTGTTTGGTTTTTTTTGGGTAATTTTCTTTAGGATAAAGCGGTGCAAAGTTGAGAATTTGGTGACTGCAGAGGAATCTTCTGGATCAACTCTGCGAGCATCTGGGAAGGAAAAAAAAAGTACTTTTTCTCACTCCCCTGCTATTATTTGGTTTATTTAAGGCCAATTACGTGATTTAGGCATCGGTAATTTGGATTTGCGAAATCAAGCTTTACTTTCAAAATGGCTTATGAGGTTTTTGAAGGAGAATGATACACTTTGGTATAGTGTGACCAAAGGTAAAAATGGCATAGATGTTGGAGGTTGGGTGACGGGAGAATGCATGAGGGTAACCTTTAGATGTCAATGGAAAGCAATTCAGTCTATATAGCTTATTCCTGGCACAAGTTAAGGTAAAGGTAGGGGATGGGAGGAGGGTGAGATTTTGGGAGGATGGTTAGGTGGGTGAAGACTGAAGAGTCTTTATCCTATCAATTTCCAAATCTGATGAGGCAGTTTCTTCGTTCTATATGGCTGACGTGTAATTTCTTGGAATTTACATCTTAGGAGGGAACCTAGTGAGAGCGAGAGCGAGTTGGGTGAGGCGGTGGAAATATTGTCCTGTTTATAGAGGGTGTGTGTTTTGTGAAGAACTTTTAGATAGATGGGAGTGGACATTGGGATTGTTTTCTTGTAAGTCGTTCTTCAAGGCCTTATTGATAATCAGTCTTTCCACACTTTCAACTCATGCCATTTTATTTGGAAGATTTCGTTTTCTACTAAAGTTTAGGTTTTTAATTGGCTGTTTGCTCTTAGAAAGCTCAATGCTTATGAAATGTTGGGAGGGAGGAAGCCTTTGCTTTCCCTGGGACAGTGTGCTCTTTGTAGGAGGGTTAAGGAGACGGCAGACCATTTGATCATCTATTGCTCTTTTTCTCTGAGATTATGGTATAGAGTTTTGGGGGAGTTAAAAATTTTTGGGCGACCCCATGTAGTATAAAAGAGTTAGTGGATGATGATTTCATGATTGGAAGAAACAAGAAATGTAGGAGATTTTGAGACTAGTTTTTGTTGATGAATGGCTCCTGTTTGTGTAGCTGATAACATATAGATGATGCAACGTGTAGAAGCTGCCACTCTTGGTTGTGATTCTACTATTTTGATATTCCCTCTTGCACTTGCTTATTGTTATAATTTATTATATTATATTCTTAAAAAGCAAGAAGTTATATTTACTAGATTTCTGTACACTGACCATCGAAATTTCATCAGTTTGTGAAGAGGAATCAACAAAGAAGGATGCATGTACGCATCCTGGTTCTTTTGGAGATATGTGTATCCTCTGTGGTCAGAGGTTGGAAGAGGAAACTGGCGTGACCTTCGGCTACATACATAAGGTATTCCCGTCTTTTAGAACTATTTGGTGGTATGGAGAATTCTTCTTCAACAAATATAAGAAGTATAGGTGGTTGATTTATTTAGTTCTACTTTGGTTATTGGGTGTTTCTTTTCCAAATCGCGGATATACTTTGACTTCTGAAGGTATATTGGTTAAAAATCTCGAGAAACGATTGAAGGGAGAGACTTTGTGTTGTGTTGTTGTTCTGCTTTTCTTATTTTTCTGTGTCAGTTTTCTTTCTTTTCTTTGTGAGAGCTCTTGTCCTCGTACCTTTTGCAATTGATTATTATTAATGAAACTTATTTTAAAAAAGTGAAAATTACAAGGGCTCTTGAATAGTACAAGTGCGCTTTGTGTGTGTGTTCTTTTCCTGTGGCACAGTGCTACTTTCCTTGAAATTTTTCTTCCTTTTTTTTTTTTTTTTTGCTCTTTTTCTTTTTCCTGTTGGATGGGAGGGATCACGTACCTCCTGTTTATGTCATTATGTGAGTAAGATTCTTTGAGATTCTTCTACTTTACAGAGGCATTATCCACTTGCCACGACCTGTAGTTTATTCATACAATTTGCTCGTTTGACAATTTATTTATTATTTATTAGGACTAGGGCATGAACCAGCTGTCATCTTAGGGCTTTGGACTTTCTTGTGTTTATTTGAATTTGATTGGTGATGAAAAATTTGATTACTCTATTTTGGTCAGGGATTGAGGCTTAATAATGATGAAATTGTTAGACTGCGAAGCACAGACATGAAGAACTTGATACGCCATAAAAAGCTTTGCTTGGTTCTTGATCTTGACCACACACTCTTAAATTCCACGCGACTTGTAGATCTGTCATCAGAGGAGCAATATTTGAAGAGCCAAGCGTTTTCTCCTCAAGGTATGTTGAGTGGAGTTTGTCATCGATAATTTGATTTGATTTGATTAGCTGTTAACTTTTACTTTCGTTTTTGTGGTTTAGTGTGATTTCAAAGTATCTTTTTGTCTTACTTCAATTAATTAAATGGTTAGATGCCTCTGAAGGAAGCCTCTTCGTGTTGGAAGCCATGCATATGATGACGAAGTTAAGGCCATTTGTCCGAAACTTTTTGAAGGAGGTGTACAATTTATTCGAATTATACGTCTACACGATGGGGGACCGACCCTACGCTTTGGCAATGGCAAAGCTTCTGGATCCCAGAAGAGAGTATTTTGGTGATAGAATAATATCGAGGGATGATGGCACCCTGAAGCATCAAAAGGGTCTTGATGTGGTGCTGGGGCAAGAAAGTGCTGTTCTCATCCTTGATGATACTGAAAATGTAAGTAGTTGCTTGTTGATGAGGCTGAAAATGCGAGTTTAATGACATTAACCTGTATGGGATTGTACATAGATGCAAAAGAGATATAAGAAAGAACCCACTGAAAGATATTTATACACTGATGTTTCTATAATTGTTGCAGGCATGGATAAAGCATCACAAGGAAAATTTAATACTGATGGAGAGATATCATTTCTTCAGATCAAGTACTCATCAGTTTGGATATAATTGTAAGTCCCTGTCTGAGTTGAAGAGTGATGAAAGCGAGACTGAAGGAGCTCTTGTGACGGTTCTAAACGTTCTTAAACAAGTGCACAGTATGTTCTTCGATGTATGTTCTTAAACAAGTCCATCTTCCCTTCACTCAGTTGACATAAGCTGTTGTAGCTTCTTGTATGTTGATTTATTTCTGGGAAATCGTTTTGTAGGAACGTGGGATTGATCATATTATTAGAGATGTGAGGCAGGTAAACATCTTTCTACTTTCCCTCAGTCTCTCCATCCGTCTCTCTCCCTCATCCTTTTTTCCTTCAAGTCTCATCTTTGTTGTTCTGTTCGGCTTTTCCAGATCAGGAAAGTCATAGGCCAGTTGTGTGTTAGGCCTTTAGAGATTGTTTATGTCTCTAACCCTGAGGCAAAATTTTATTTCTCATGGTCGGATATTTATATTACATTGGTTTTGGGAATTGTATCTATATTATTTCTCATGTTTCCTCCTATTTTGTCCAGTTTGACTTTTCATTAGACATCTGCCAAAACGAAGTCGAAGATTTTGGTTTAGTGTGTGCTTGGATATAATTTTCTCGAAATCATTCTATACAGGTGTTGAAAACCCTTCGGAAGGAAGTCCTGAAGGGCTGCAAAATTGTTTTCAGCCGTGTCTTCCCCACCGAATTCCAGGCCGAGAATCACCAGCTATGGAAGATGGCAGAACAACTGGGCGCGACATGTGGAATAGAACTCGATCCGTCAGTGACTCATGTTGTTTCATTGGATGTCGGAACTGAGAAGTCCCGTTGGGCAGTGAAAGAGAACAAGTTTCTAGTCCATCCGAGGTGGATTGAAGCTGCAAACTATATGTGGAAAAGGCAACCTGAAGACAACTTTTCAGTTAACCAAGTGAAAAATCAATGACCAAATTCTTTCGTTCTGCTAACCCTCTCTAGTTATGACAGTTATAGAGTTCACCATTTTGCACTGATAGTCTTGTTTTTACTGAGTCCTAGGTTCATGTTCATTGTAAATTTTAGACTGTTACTGTGATAGGGCTCAATTTGGAATGGTTGCACAATTAGAACATATTTTGGCTTGCAGATTTCCAGAGTAACCGTGTAATCCTACTTTGATAGTACAACATATAGCATACACTTCTTTCCGGACTCGGAAGCTTTTCTACTAAAATTTTTTTTTTTTTTTTTTTTTTTTTTTTCTTTTTTTTTTTCTGCCCTTTGTAATTCATTTTGTTTGGCATTGTATAATAACTCAGAAGCATTGTGAGTCCTATCATGAATAAAAAGTGTTGCTAGCTAGGTTGCTTAAAATTATGTGGGATTAATATGAGCAATGACTGGTTTGAGAATTCTTTAGGAGGATATGAAAAAATACCTTATCTTACCGATAGGGTACTATCAAAAAATCGAGTCTTTATTAGGTTTCGTCAGTATTGCGTGCTTTTTTGTTTTAATGTGATTTAAAAATGCGTATTACCTACTGGGATATCCTAATGTGGAAAACTACCTTTTAGCGGGGAAAATGACATTTATTTTTTATATGTTGCGATTTAGGGAGTTGATTGTGGTTCAAGTCATCGTGAATGCATTGCGTTTTGATGATTTTAAAGTGTTGGTACTTTCTGTTTGAGAAAAATGTTCTAATTTCTGTTATTTGGCTCACGAGCCATTTTGGTGCTACTCATCATAGAAAAGAAGAATGAAGACTTTTCGCCTATGGCGTGGGCATGGCAGTCCTACGAAGCAAAATGAAATGAGAAAGCTACACTTAATGCCAACTTGGTGAGCTTTCTCAATTCCAAAAGGAAAGCCTTGAACTTATACATCTCTTTAAGAATGTTTTGTGACCGCAAACAAGAAAAATGAAACATGCATGATTGATTGGAAAAAAAAAAGAAAAAAAGTGATAAAAGTTTGTCTATAGAATTGGGATTGAAGAGCACTTGAAACCAATTGTTTGGGAGATGAGTTTGTAGAGTTTAGCATGCATATACAAAATTGGACGTCTCTTAGGTTTGAGAGGTGAATGTCTTTTGGGGGTGTCTTTCAAGTTTCAATCGTGTCTCACATATGAGACAACAAAAAGTGAATTATCAAAAAAAATTAGGCAATGAAGAGACATGCATGGAGGACCTAGTGTTGTCAAACGTGTCGTGCCGGACCGGCATGGCACGCTTGACCCCAGGCCCATCACGGGCCTGGGCCGTGCCTGGGCCGGGCCTGAGAAGAAAAACTCAGGCCCGGTCCAGGCCCTTGGCCCTAGTCCATAAGGGCCAGGGCCGGGCCTGGGCCCAGGCCCTTCGCGGGCTGGCCCCGGCCCTTGTATTTTTTTTTTAAATTTAATTAAAAAAAATATCAAATGCCCCAAAAGATGTGATTTTATTGAATTGACGTAATAGGAGTACACATAAATGACTATCTCGTTAAAAACCTTGCTAAGTAAAACCCGTGGGGAGATCGGGACAAAACCTTAGCGAAGGGAAAAAGAGTGCAGTAGCTAGGAATAGTAAATTACAAACCTAAGTGCTTCCAGAAGATTCTGTTATTTCTAAGTTAGAAAAATATTCTTGCATCGAATCATCTGTGTATTGTTGTTTTCGTCTTCTGGCATCTTCCCAGTCTTTAACGCACATTAGTCCTTCCAAGATATCTGGATGCATTCTGCTTCTCTTCTCGTCAAGAATTTGGTTGCTTGCACTAAAAGCTTGCTCCGATGCTACCGTTGACACTGGAGTTGTCAGAATGTCACGAGCTATTATGGACAGTGTTGGAAAACGATCTGTCTTGCTCTTCCACCACTGTAAGATGTCTAGTTT